AACTCAACAAAAGGAGGACAAAACACCCAGTTAAAAATTGGGCAGAGGACCTAAATAGACACCGCTCCAAACAAGACATACAAATGGCTAAGAGACATATGAAGAAATGCTCAACATCACTAATCATCAGAGAGATGCAAATTAAAACAACTATGAGGTATCACCTCACACCTGTCAGAATGGCCGCCATCAACAAATCATCAAACAACAAGTGTTGACGAGGGTGTGGAGAAAAGGGGACTCTAGTACACTACTGGTGGGAATGCAAACTGGTACAGCCTCTGTGGAAAATACTCTGGTGTTACCGCAAAAAGTTAAAAATTAAACTGCCATTTAACCCAGTGATCCCACTTCTAGGAATATACCCTAAGAAGCCTGAAACACCAATCAGAAAGAATATATGTCCCCACATGTTCATAGAAGCACTATTTACAATAGCTAAGATCTGGAAACAACCCAAGTGTCCATCAGTAGATGAGTGGATAAAAAGCTGTGGTACATGTACACAATGGAATACTATGCAGCTGTAAGAAAGAAAGATCTCTTATCCTTTGAGATGGTGTGGAAGGAACTGGAGAGTATTATGCTAAGCAAAACAAGATAAGCAGAGAAAGACAAATATCACATGATGTCACTTATTTATGGAATGTAATGAACTAAACAAACTGATGAACAAAACTGACCCAGAGACATGGAGGTGGGGTACAGACAGACAAGCCTCAGAGGAGGGGGTTTGGGCAAGAGATAAACCACAGAACTTATATGCATGTATGCATGACCAATGGACATAGACAACAAAGCTGGGGATGGGGCAGAGGGGAAGGGGAGGAGGATGTCAATGGGGGAAAAATGAGAAACATCTGTAACAAAAACAAATTAATAAATAAAAAAAATTTTTAAATGCTGATCGAATACTCCACACTGCTTGGGTTTTTACTTCAGGCATCTGTGAAGGGAGAAGTTGAGAGAATGTGAGAGTTCCTGTATTCTTTTTTACCCCCATTGCACTCTTGACCTTCAGCATCAGTTCCCTCGTCCATGAAATCAGGGGGTACTTCCACCTGTAGAGCACTAGGGTTTTTTTTTTTTTTTTTGTGGGGGGAGATGGTTTGTGTGTGGTATTTTGGCCAATTATTTGGGAGACATTGACTTGAGGAAACACAAGGATTGGTTGCAACTCATGCATAGACCCAGATTTGCAGATAATTGCTCTGCAACCTGGAACTGACTCAAAAAGGGAATTTGCAGAGGACTGCAGGGAACTTGCCTTGTCCCTGCATCTGTGCAGTCAGACATGCCATTGGGAGGAAATAGTCCCATTCATCATGATGAAATGAACTTTGGTTTAGCTGGGCTGCTATGTCCACTTGCCCAGGTTAGTTAGCCACAAGGCCAAGTGAGGCTCTAATTCATTCCTCCCTCCTCTTACCTAGCTCTGTGCTCTGATTTGAGGCTACTCAGCTCCCAGGAAGAGTGCCTTTGGCTGACTTCTTCATCCAGAGGACCACCATTTTTCCAGTGGGCACTGAGGTATTGTGAAGGCTAGCACTTTAAGCTTTTGTTTGAATTGAGAAATAATAGTAGAAATGGAGAAGAACCAGCTGCTGTTGGGAATGAGCATAATGGGGTAGGTGTGAGGCAGAGAGCATTCAGGAGACTGGGTGAAAGAATCCAGGAGTGAGGGAGGAAGGGAAATTGGGTAAGGAGGACCATGAGGTCAACAATACCTGCTACCTGTAGCTGTGCTGACCAGGGAAGGACAGCTTGCTGTCCCCTCAAGAGCTCTGTACCTCAATTTGAAACCAACATGGGCTCACATCAGATCTGGCCTTGTGCAAAGGAATTCTTTTGTGTATTTCTTCATCCAATTTTTTGTAATATTCACCTGAGGATATTTTTCCATTTATTTTCAGGCAGAGTGTGGGGGGGGGGGAGAGAGCGCAAAAGAGATGTGAGATAGACACATCGATTGGTTACCTTCCACACGATCCCGACCAGGGCCGGGATCTGAACCACAACCGAGGTAAAAATATGGAACACTTCACAAATTTGTATGCCATCCTTGTGCAGGGGCCATGCTAATCTTCTCTGTGTCGTTCCAATTTTTAGTATATGTGCTGCCGAAGCAAGCCCTCTTTATCCAATCTTCATCCAAATCCTTTGCTTTAAAAAATGTTTCTTTTACATGACTCCTTCCACTTGAGCCTTTTCTATATTTAATGTTGATTTTTTTTTTTTTATAAACAACTGATTCCCAGCACCTGGTACTGTCCTAGGTCTTGAAGCATCTCCAGGGCTCCGTGGTAGTTCCATTTGTGGCACTTGGCCGCAGCCTTGATGTGGAGAAGCCATCTGCTGCCCAGTGAGTTCTCTGGTGCTTATCAACACCACAGAAAGGGTTGTGGCCAGTGCCCTGAGAATGGTTTTCTTGGTCAGCTGTGGGTACAGCCAGTAGATGAGTGAATTCCACAACAACAAGAGTATCAATAACACTAGCTCTACTTATTGAGTGCTTACTCTGTGCCAGGGACTGTTTGAAGGCTTCCATATGTATGAACACATGTAACCGTCAAAACTACCGTAGAAGGATGACTGTGTTATTCTTCTCCCATTTGAGAGATGAGAAGCCTGCGGCTCAGAGAGGCTTAGCTGCTCCAGCTGGTGATTGTGTATCTGCCTTGTAGGCTTGCCTGGCAGGGGCGCTTAATGACACATCATCTTCATTTTGAAATAAAAATCTGTGTCAGAGTGGATGGCAAGGGGAAGAACAAGGAAGGAGATACCCAAGGTCACTGAGCGCCACTTTCTGGGCTCAGACAGAAGGCTGGATCCTCTGGCCACTTTCCTTGGGGGACCAAACTTCTGGTGTGCAGTGACTGTCCTGTCCTGGTATTGATTCCATTTCCATTTTCATCCTTTTTGGTTACTGGTTGTGTGGGAAAATCTAGGAAGGCTCATCTGATTAGAATCAGTAGCTCATTTCTTAAAAATGTATCTTTATTGTTGAAAGTATTACAGATGTACTCCCTTTAATTCCCCATTGACTCCCCTCCTCCTCATTCCTGCCCACCTGCCCCTCACCTTCCCCACACTGTTGTCTGTTTCTATTGGTTATATATATGCATATAAGTCCTTTGGTTAATCTCTTCCGACCCCCGACCCCCTTCAGTAACTCATTTTTATGAGTTTGCCAGGCATAGGCACTAGACTGTAAGTATAACCCTAGCATGTGCCATGCTTATGAGATCCCAGTTAACTGGTCTAAAATTAGGTGACACATTGTGTCCTGGAAGCCAGGGCATGTGTGTCTGGCTTTTCTAGAAAGGCTGACCAATGCTCCAGCCGAAAGGGGTCTTCCTCAGTACAGACTGGCAGTCATTTTTACTTCCTTTTCAAACTTTATGTCTGAGCAAATGTTTCAAGGGAAACCAAAAGCCTGGGTGGCTGACAGAGGAGGTCTTTGAGTTCCCTATCATAAAGGGTATGGGTGAGCCCACGAAGCTATCAGCTGTGTTTCCTGATGTCATGGCAACTCCTTCTCAAACTATGCAGCAGGCCCCAAGGGGCCTGAGGGACCTGTCATTAAAGGTCAATTTAGGAATGGCCACCCAAGCAGATGACTTCTGAAAGGCATTCCTTCATAGCAAGGTCTTCCAAAGTTTGTATGTTGTTGTAGACAGAGAGATTATGCAAGGAGGGAAACCAAAGGCCTTGGGGGGAGAAATAATAATTGTGTGTGTGTGTGTGTGTGTGTGTGTGTGTGTGTGTAACTAACTATGGAAATGTCATCCCCTACCCACCCTGTCCCCAATGTGATTTCCTCCAAATGAAGGAGTGTAAGGCAAGATGAAGCATATTCTATTCCATTCCAAATGATTCTTTTGGCCAAGGGTCAGCAAACGTTTTCTGTGAAGTAAATAGTTTAGGCTTTGCAGGTCAAGAGGCAAACTAAAATTGCACAATTATTTATTTACTTACTTAATTTTTTTATTGGTTTTTAGAGAGAGGAAGGGAGAGGGAGAGAGAGAGATAGAAACATCAATGAGAGAGAACATTGATTTCCTGCTTCTGCACACCCCACACTGCGGATCAGGCCCACAACCTGGGCATGTGACCTGACTGGGAATCGAACTGGCAACCTCTTGGTGCATGGGTCAACGCTCAACCAGTGAGTCACACCAGCTGGGCTGCACAATTATTTAATGATGAAATTAAAAATATAATAATCAAGTGCAGTTTTGTGTAATATAGGTCTAATAATGAGAAGAATGGAATTCTTTGATCATAATTTGCCTAGTTAGGGTTCTTTATCATCAGATCGATAGCCAATGTTCTCTGTAAACATTTGCTGACCTCTGCTCTTGGTGAAACCTCTGAGGCCCTTTCCCTGAGAGCTTACAATCCAATTTACTTATCAGGCCAAATCAGGAAATTCAATTTTCCTGCCTCAGGCGTACCCATTCACTCACTCATTCATTCCATGATGGTTATGAAGCTTATACTATGCACCAGGTGCTGTCTTGGAAAGGTGTGGAACAAAGATGAAGCAATGCAGATCTTATTTATATCTGTGAATTATGTAACAAAAGATGAGTTTGAGTAATCCTAAATTGAGTACAAATTTGTGCCAAACTCTAAAAAAAATTATAGAGTTTTCTGAGTAAAAGGAAAACTTTCCCCATGTCTGTCCCTCATTTTTCCCTAATCCTGTTCTCCAGAACTAATTGCTGTTAACATTTTGGTGAGAATCCTTGCAGGTACCCTGCCCCCTCCTATACATACACACAAACTTACAAAAATACAGCATGTATTTCTGGCCTGGGTAATATTTAAATCACTTTATAAATGACTTTTCTCCACCCAATTTCAGTTTTGAAATTTTAAAGCACAGTCAATAAGTGATTTGGCAACAATTAAGAAATCACAAGTTCCTTTCTTTCCATATAAACTTCTGCAAACCACATGCTAGGTTCCACTTAATGGTAAAGGGGCCACTTCAGGAAGTTAGTCAGTTTCTCTTCTTCCTGTGCACCTGATGCACAGAGGGCACCACTCTGCTGTGCTGCATGCAGGCTGTGGAATGAGAAATTAGAAGACCGACAACAGAAAAGCGGTAAGCTTCTCCTCTTTCTTTAACAAAGCTTTCCGCCCTGGCCGGTTTGGCTCAGTGGTTAGAGCGTCGGCCTGCGGTCTGGAGAGACCCAGGTTTGGTTCCCGCTAAGGGCACGTACTTCGGTTGCAGTTTGTCCCCGGCCCTGGTTGGTCGTGCGGGTGGCAGCCACTCGATGTGTCCCTTCACGTCGATGTTTCTCTCTCTCTCTTCCTCTCTCTCCCTCCCACTCTATCTGTACAAAAATTGGAAAAATGTCCTCGGGTGAGGATAAAAAAAAAAAAACAAAGCTTTCCAACAAAGTATGTGATTTCTGCCCTGGAAATATGGCTTGGTGGCCAAAGATGTGAACAGAGAAAATGATGAATGGGCAAATAAGTATTAAAAGGTTTAGTGTTGAAACAATTCTAAAAGTAGGCAACGTGGCCTGGTATGCAGAAAATTTTTAAAATCAAATGCACTGGTCTTATTATTTTGGACAGGAGAAGAAGCAAATCCCAACTTAAGAGTTGAACTGGAACATTGTTTTCTGGTCTTGCCACAAACAATATTCTCTTCTGGAACCAAAGGGTTGGAGTGAAGTGGGTAGAGGGGGTGTTTCTCCTCTGTTACTACTACAGAAAGGTCAAACTCTGTTCCCTCACATACACAAGTCTCTCGCTAGTGCCTGGGCAAAGCCTGACATGAATATACTTAATGTTTAATATTAATAGCTACTTTTCTTGTTCGGATAGTTTAAGGAACATGTTACTGTTTCTATAATTATATTCTCTAGTGTTTAGGTGTAGCAGGTGGTCAGTTTTGGTTACTGTCAAGAACTGCCAGATTGAAAAACAAACTATAATTTTAAAAAATATGTTTTCTAGAAAATGGAATAAGATCTAAGAACAATTGAAAAGTCTGATTCCAAGAGAAACTCATCCAAAATTTACCCTATTTTTTTCCATACCCATTTAGTGCTTATTAAAGATCTTGGAGTCATTTTTTCTTTAACCACCATTTAATGTATATTTCAGTTTTAAGTTAATTTTTGCATTCATTTAATACCATTATAGAACTTGAAAATAAATGAATTCTGTGCTAAAATTGTATAATGCTTTACAAAATGACTGCAATGGTTTATAAAGAATTGGGTCAACAGTCCCTAGACAGTGTTTCTTAATGGTTAGATCATCGGCCCACAAACCCAAGGGTCTCAGGTTTAATTCTTGATCAAGATCACGTACCTGGGTTGCAAGTTCCATCCTGCCCCCAGTTGGGGTGCATGAAGGAGGCAACCAATCGATGTGTGTCTCTCATATCAATGTCTCTCATATCAATGTCTCTCTCTCTCTCCCTCTCTCCCTCTCTCCCTTTCCCCCTCTATCTCCCTCACCCTCCCTTCCACTCTCTCTAAAAATCAATGGGAAAAATATCCTCGGGTGAGAATTAACAAACAAACACAAAAGAATTGGGCCAATATGGCCAATGACAAGTATGGAATGACAACTGAAGTTAATTTCTCTTTGATATTTGTAAACTGCCTTGAGTGTGTATTAGAATCACAGAGGGAGTTTTAGAAAGTTCTGCTACAAGGTTGAATCCTGGATCAATGAAATCAGAAACTTGGGGTGGGGAGCAGGGCATTGTAGTTTTCCAACTCCCCAGGGATCTCAATGTGCAGCCACAGTTGAGAACCACCGCCTGGAGCAGCATCCGAAGAGCTATTTTGATCCTTTCACTCAAGAGCACAGTCTTTTTTAGGCGGTAACAAGGCTTCAGGAAGACCTGAAGCTTATTCATGAGCCCCTGAATTTGACTTCAGAAAGCAAAATAAAAGTTCTGGATATGCCTTATCTGAAAAGCTGAGGCTGTGGATCAGGGTGAGGATAGTTGAAGCTCATTTATTCCTTCAATCATTGCTGCTCACCCTTTCATGTAATAACCATAGGGTTTAGGAGATAGAAGGCTGCCGCAGGGAAATGCCAGACTTATGGAGTATTGGGTGTGACTCACAGGGAAGGATGTCATTACCCGGGTTTAGTCTTTGAAACTCAGTTGGAGGTTTTTGTGTCTTACTATCGCCTCCAGAGTCTATTGAGGGAAATGCCATCCCAATGGAATGTATTTGAGTTCAACTGAATTATTAAGTGGACTTGAGGGATTTGATTTTGTTGTTGTTAATCCTCACCCAAGGATATTTTCCATTGTTTTTGTGTGTGTTTTTTTTTAGATAGAGTGGAAGGGGGGGCAGGAGAAACGTTGATGTGAGAGAAATACATCAATTGGTTGGTTGCTTCCAGCACAACCCCAACTTGGGCTGGGGTCAAACCTACAACCCAGGTATGTGCCCGTAACTGGAAATTAAACCCATGACCCTTCAGTATGAGGGCTGATGCTCTAACCACTGAGCAAAATCGGCCAAGGTGGGATTTGTTATTTTTAAACTGTTGTCCCCAATTGGTGATTATTCAGGCTTATAAGGACACAGTACATTTAAATATGCAACCCATGTTTCTGGATCAGGATGAGCGAGTCCAGGCTGTGTTAACTTTTCACATGGTTACAGAGGGCTGCTGGTTGGTACATACATCTAAAATCAGTACATTTCCAGTTGTTCTGTGGGGTTACAGAGTGCTCTGTGATAGAATGATCAGTGCAGAAAGGCAAGGTGGGTAATCCACCCTGGAATTTGAATTGTGAAGGTTCCACGTATGACTATGATGTCTCTGCTGGTAATCAAAACCAGATCAGCACTAACTAGCCTCTTGGTTCCAGCCCTACCAATTTGTTAACTACTCATGTACATGTAGGCTCAGTTTCAGCTCTGCCATCTACCATCCAAGTGACCTGGGGTAAATTAGTCTCTCTGAGCCTCAGGTTCCACATCTGTAAAATGGAGGCTTATGATAGCTCCCACCTCACTAATTTGGAGGAGGATTAAACAAGAAAATACATGACTTGCATTCAGCCCAGTGTTCCCTGCCATATTCCGGGAATTCAAATAGCATAATTTTTCATGTATATAAAATCAGGATCCATCTGTTCACTGATATATGCATTTAATGAGGTAGTGATTTCTTTCATCTTCCAAAGCTGTTAATGAGTCCATCAAATTTGGAGAAAATATGGTATCTATTATTGGATAAAATACAGTATTTATTATTAATTTTACATTTCAGCTGAGGTGACAAATCCTATCTGTGCAACCATTTCTTTATTATTTACTTTCATAATATATCAGTGGTCAACATAGTTAACTACAAATGAATCATCACCCATTAAAGATTAGGAATATTTCCAGTTTGGTAAAGATTCAGTTGTGGTTGAACCCCACATCATGCCCAAAAACCTAAGTAATTCAGTTGGGATTAATCACTTTATAATCAATGGATTCTCTTGACATTGTAGTGTTAGGGGGCATCAGCAGGACCCATACTGAGAAAGGGGTCCAGCTGGGGAGATGGGCAAATCACCTCTTGGTAAAGGAAGCCTTTGAAGAGAGAGAAGGAAGAACACATCATTGCAAAATCTCTGCTTGCAACCTGGGAAATAGATGTAAAAAGAGAAAAAGCCTTTTATTTGAGGAATGCAGCTTTAGGCATCTGGTAAACCACCTTTACCTTAGATTGTGTGGGGAAACCTGCAGGATTTATTTTCTTAAAAAAAAAAAAAAAAACTTATCTTTATTGTTGAATGCATTACAGATATTCCCCTTTTTCTCCTATTGAACTCCTCCTCCCTGCTACCACCACTCTCCTGCCTTCTCCACACTATTGTCTGGGTCCATTGGTTACACATATCTGTATATAAGTTCTTTGGTTTATCTCTTCTTGCCCTGCCCTCCCCTCTGAGGCTTGTCAGTCTAACAACCAATTTGTACTTCTTAATCCCTTCACCTTTTTCACCCATCCCCCTAACTCCCTCCCATCTGGCAACCATCAAATAGTTCTCTGTATCTATGAGTCTGTTTCTGTTCTGCTTATTTATTTGCTTGTCGATTCGATTGTTGATAGATATGTATTTATTGCCATTTTATTGTTCATATTTTGTATCTTTTTCCTCAAGAAGACCCTTCAACTTTTCATATAATACTGGTTTGGGCCCTGGCCAGTTTGGTTCAGCGTTTAGAGCGTTGGCCTGCGGTCCGGAGAGACCCGGGTTCGGTTCCCACTAAGGGCACGTACTTCGGTTGCAGTTTGTCCCTGGCCCTGGTTGGTCGTGCGGGTGGCAGCCACTCGATGTGTCCCTTCACATCCATGTTTCTCTCTCTCTCTCCCTTCCTCTCTCTCCCTCCCACTCTATCTGTACAAAAAATGGAAAAATATCCTCGGGTGAGGATAAAAAAATAAATAAATAAATAAAATACTGGTTTGGTGGTGATGAACTCCTTTAGCATTTTCTTGTCTGGGAAACTATATATCCATTGATTCTAAATGACAGCTTTGCAGGATAGAGTAGTCTTGGTTGTAGGTCCTTGCTTTCCATCACTTTGAATATTTCTTGCCACTCCCTTCTGGCCTGAAAAGTTTCTTTTGAGAAATCAGCTGACAATCTTATGGGAGCTCCTTTGTAGGTAATGGACTGCTTTTCTCTTGCTGCTTTTAAGATTCTCTCTTTGTTTTTAACCTTTTGCATTCTGATGATGATGCGTCTTGGTGTGGGCCTCTTAGGGTTCATCTTATTTGTGACTCTCTGTGCTTCCTGGACTTGTATGTCTGTTTCCTTCACCAAGTTAGGGAAGTTTTCTGTCATTATTTTTTCAAAAAGATTTTCAATTTCTTGTTCTCTTGCTTCTCCTCCTGACATCCTCATGATGCTAACGTTGGTATGCTTGAAGTTGTCCCAGAGGCTCCTTACACTATACTCATTTTTTTTTTTTATTCTTTTCTCTTTTTGCTGTTCTGATTGGATGTTTTTTGCTTCCTTACATTTCAAATCGATGGTTTCCTTCTTGGTTTTACCTACTCTACTATTGATTCCCTGTACATTATTCTTTATTTCAGTTAGTGCCTCCTTCATTTCTGACTGGCCCTTTTTTGTGTTCTTGAGGTCCTCACTAAGTTTATTAAGCATCCTTATAACCAGTGTTTTGAACTCTGCATCTGTTAGATTGCTTATCTCTGTTTCATTTAGTTCTTTACCTGGAGTTGTGTTCTGTTCTTTCATTTGGAACATGTTTCTTTGTCCCCTCATTTTGGATGCCTCCCTGTGTTTGTTTCTATGTATTAGATAGAGTTTCTATGTCTCAATAGCTAGCAACACCTGTGTTTGGCGGGGAGGGGAAGTTAAGTAGATTTTTGTGTGTGTGTGTGTGTGATTCATATGCTTTCTCTAAAGAAATTTGTCTTGATTTTTCTCTGGGTATTCTAAGGCAACTTCCAGTGGCAGGTCCAGAACACGCAGACATGGTCATCCTCATCAGGGTGTTCTATGCAGCGAGCTCACTGGCATGTCCAGACCAAGGGCTTTGTTTCGGCTGCTTGAACTTGTCTTGACAGTGGGTTCCATTGAACAACTCTTATTCACCTGCTCTCTGCTCTCACTGTTTTCTGTGTCTGCCATAGCAGAGTACCACAAACTTGGTGGCTAGAAACAACAGAAATGTATCCTCTCCTAATTCTAGAGGCCAGAAGTCCAAAATCTAGGTGTTATCAACAGGGTTGGTTCCTTCTCAGGGCTCTGAGAAAAAATCTCTCTCGTGCCTTTATCCTGGCTTCTGGTGGTGGCAGGCAATCCTTGGTGTCCCTTGACTTGTAACTGTATGGCTCCAATCTCTGTCTCTATCTTCATGTGGTCTTCTTTCCTGTTTGTCTCTGTCCAAATGTCCCTCTTCTTAGGAGGATATCAGTCAGTGGATTAGGGCCCCCACTAACCTTATTTCCAAATAAGGGAACATTCATATGTCCAGGGTTAAAACTACTCCAACTTATCTTCTTGAGGGGACACAGTTTATCCTGTAACACTTTCCTTTTTTCACCCTCTAATTCTGCCATTTCCACTCCATGCTAGCCCTTGACTTTACCAGTTCCCAATCTAATACTTAATTTACTTACCTCCTACTTATCTCAGGGGGCCTGGTCTGAACCCCATTATCCCATCATTAACAACCACAGCCAACTTCTCTTTAGGCACAGAAGGCACAGAGCCTAGGGCTCATGATGCCTTAAGCAAAGATTTTCATTTTTTTTAAATCAGCAAAATAATGAATATAATCCAGTCCAAATTATATTCATTTTTATACCAACAGGATTCTAAAATATATTTACTATTTTTTTAATGGAGGAAGGGGCCTATGGAGGCCATAACTTGGCCCCACTGACAACCACACCCTATTTCCTGATTTAACATATGCCATAGAAAATTCAGGAATTGCTAATGTGTCCCCAAAGAAGGAGATTTAAGTACAGATCTGCAATCCCTTATCTGAAACCTATGGGCCAGAATTCATATTTTAGCAAGATAGTATGTTACCTGTATGATACACTACAAAACACTTCCAGTGGGTCTGGGTCACGCACATGGCTGTTACTGCTGTGGGACCAGAATGCTCATGCTAAGTGGATAAATACAGATGCTAGTAGACTTGGGTCCATTCAGATCAGGTTTTGTTGCCAAATCCATTACAAAACAAACAAACAAACAAACAAAACAATAAGTTCTGGTGCTCAGATCGTTTGGGATTTCAGAAATGCAGAGAGGGAATTGAGAACCTGTGCAAGACAGGACCTGCATTAATAAAAGAAATCATACACCACTGTCCTGGCTGCCAGACGTCTGGTTCTACTAATTGCTGGATCTGGGTGAATTCCCAGATGACTGACGCTGGCTGTTATTTCCTACTGAAGAGAGAGGCACCAAATTGCTGATTAGGAGCTCTAACCTGAAGGACAGGCTAAGTGGGTGTGATCAGCTTTTGGCTAGGGTGTGCCAATGTCACGGGAGATCTTTTCTGTGGTGCTGGCCCAGAACTAGGGTTGGGAGACTGAGGCACTCACTTTGCATGCAAAATTTAACAGAGGGAGGGTGCCAAAAAGCTCAGTAATAAAGATTAATAATATTTTACTGTTATATTTTAAAAACTCAAACTGGCAAACTCGGACTGCAGGCTGGTTGCCTGTTTTAGGAAATTGAGTTTTATCCGAATCAGGCCAGGCAGGTGGAGCGGAGTCTTGCAAATGTAGGGTCCGAGTCTGTCCTTGTTTAAAGTGCTGATATTTTGTCCATCCAGGGTTTTAATTTTTTAAAGTCTTCATCTGGATGACTGAGTTTTGGGGTGTCCCCTTAAATTTTGTGCTCATGGCCCTGCTATTGGGCCTGTTTTCCCAGCGAGATCCTCCAATCTGTTGCCTGGGGTGCTGGAGTGGGTTGTTCATAAGCCCATGACTCTCAGAGTTCCCAGAGTCCAGGCAGGGAGGTGGTTGGGGTTCTGAGCTCCAGGTGCTGACTGTTCCTTAACCCTTGTGTTTTCTCTTTGGTAGTTCCTCAGGGTCTTCACTTGTGCCTGGAGGCCTGAACCTGAGGCTCTGGATTCGACCTTTTGAGATAGTAAGTCTCAGGGAGGGGAGCAGGAGGAATCTAACTTCTCCTGAAGACCCTCAACCCATCCATGTGCAGTCCCACCTAGCAGGCTGCCAGTCTTTTCCGTAATATGAACAGACTTTGCTCTGGTTGACCTTGAAGCTTCTCTGCTTGGTCACCTGCTGCTCAACCACCTGTACTTGTCATCTTCCTTGACTTCTTCTTTATTCCTTGTCTGCTATGGTCTCCTCTTATGCCTTCTCTGAACTTGTATGGATCCTAGTCCTTTACTGTCACTTTATGGGAACCTTCCACTGTCAGGCTCAAACAAGGGAAGTATCCTCTGTCCCTCCCTCCCTCCCTCAGCTCCCTCTCCCCTCCTTTCTCCTTCCCTTCCTCCCTTCCTCTCTCTCGGGTTCTCTGTTTCATTTCCATAGTTTCGCTTTCTATCTTATTTGCATAATTGCCCCTTTCCCCTCTATTTTATTTGTAGGGTTTCCAGTTCTCTATTTATTTATATATATTTTGCATGGTTGCCATTTCTCTAGTTAATTTGTACAGATGCCATTTCCTTTCTGCCAGGCTGGATGGTTACATCTTAATGACAGTCAGTTTCCCCTGGGACCCTTCTCACTTTGTCTGGGATCTGGTTTTCTCTGAAGTCGTTTTAGAGCCTCAACTTTTGGTAGTCACAGACATGGGTGTGGCTGAGAGGAAGAACTTGACTGGGGAGTCGCAGTTCTTGCTGGGGCCTTCGGCTCTGTGCTCTTTCTCCTCAGATCCAGGTGGATGAGATAAGATAGGGTTCACTCTGTGAATGGGGAGCCTTTGCGGTCCATTTGCCTTCCTGAGGCCCTGACATGGATGGAGAGGCCTGAATGGTCAGGGTTTTCTCCTCAACTTCTTTGATAGCTGCCTGTTCTCCATTTCCTATTTCTCCCACCCATGTACTTCTCTTCAAATTGAGGTTATTTGAAACTCGTCAACTCAAGTTCTTACCACAGGACTCTTTCCAGAGGGCAGAGTTAGGAGCCTCAAGCTATATCCCCTTCTTGAAAACAGTTCCTGAAATAAAGTATATTCTTCATAAATATTTTTGAATAAGTAAAAGAATAGAACTTTCTTATCATTTCTAATTGCTGCATAGTATTCCATTATATAACTAAAACATATATATATTTTTTAATCCTCACCCAAGGACACCTCTGCATTTATCTTCAGATAGAGTGGGAGGGAGAGAGGGAGGAAGAGAGAGAGAGAGAAACATTGATGTGAGAGAGACACACCGAGTGGCCGCCACCCACATGACCCCAACTGAGGCGGGGGACAAACCACAACCAAGGTACATGGCCTCAGCAAGAACCAAACCCGGGACTCTCCGGTCTGTGGGCCGACGCTCTAATCACTGAGCCAAACCGGCCAGGGCTAGAACATAATTTTTTAACCAGACAACTACTCATAGGCATTTAGATTATTTCTCATCTTTTGTTATTGCTAACAGCCCTGCATCGAACATCCTCGTACATAGTTATTTGTATATGTGAGGGTCTATCTTTAGGGTCTGCTTCTAGAATTGAAATTGCTGAGTCTGTTTCCAATTTTGATAAATATTACAGATTGCTCTCTATGTTAAAGGTAGCACTAACTGAGACTACTACCAGCAAGATACGAGAGCACCTTTTCTCTACATCCTCACCTACATAGCAGAATATCAGTGTAGCTTTTATGAGTAAAGCGGAGTATATTTTCCTACGTTTAAGAGATATTTATGTTTCCTTTTTGTGAACTGTGTATTAACATATTTTTGTCCATTTTTCTATTGGGTTGTCCTCTCACTTATACATAAAGAGTCTTTGCATATCAAAGATATTACACTCATATCTGTGATAGGAACTGCAGATATTTTCTCCTAACTTATTGTTTCACTTTCGGCATTGTTTATCATGTTTTTCATGAGGCAGAATTTTTATTTGTGTGTGGTTTAATTACTCGTTTTTTTTTTTCCTGCCTCTGCTCTATTATTTTTTTCATTGTTCTGGAGTACGTAGGCAATACAATTAGATCATAAAAAGAAATTAGACTGCGTAAAGAGTGATAAGGGGATCATTATTTGCAGATGGTTTCATTGCTTCCCCAAGAAAATCACGTGGAGAAACAACTATTGCAAATAATCAGAGAATTTAGTATATAATAACTTGGTCTAATCTCTTCTCAACTTTTTGGCTAAGATCAAGTGTAGTATCTGTTCTTATCAGTAATTTGGTCTAAGATTAATATGTATAAATGAATAGTTCTTGGTATGTACTGGTAAGACCTGTTAGAAGTTAAGATAGAAGTGATCCATTCACAAAAGAATTATGAGCAGGAGTTGCCCTATCAGATACTAGCATACCTGAAAACTGCAATTATTAAAATGTACCAGCATGTGAATGATGAATAGGTTAATAAAGCAGAATATAGAGTCTATAAATAGACCCAAATACACAGGAAAATGAGTTTATGGATGGAGGGCGCATATCAAATTGGCAAGCAAAAGATTATTCAATAAATGCTGTTGGGACAACTGGGTCTCCATTTAGAAGAAAATAATGTGTCTTGGCACCTCTCATTTTATGCCAAAACAATTCCAGTGGGATAAGATATTTCAATGTAAAAAAAAAAAAATCATAAAATTACTAGGAAAAAAATGATGAGAAAATTGTTGTTGATACCAAAGTGTGGAATATGCTTTGTGGCTTACACCACCCTGGGTGATCTCATTCACACCCTTGGCTGTACTTGCAACAACTTCTAAATCCATCCCTCTATCAGGACTCTCTTCTGAGCCTAAGACACATATGTAACTGCCTCCTGGCCATCTTCACTGTACAGTTACAAACTCAACATGTCAAATTTAATTAATAATACTCACTTCCCCCTCCCCCTGCCCCAGACTGTCTTCTCTCTCAGTGAATGGCACTCAGTCCAGTTGCACAGACCAAGAACTAGGAAGACACCTTGAATTCTTCCCTTTCCACTACAATTCCCCCAGTATACATCTATTGCTATATCTCTCAGTTTTATCTCCCAAGTATCTCCTGAATCCATTTCTATCTCCATTGCCACCAACTTAGTTCAAGCTATCATCATCTTGCACCTGAAATTCTGTGCCTTCTTGCCAGTGACCACTGTAGAATCAATGAGCATGGTACCATTCTGCTTTAAATATTCAAAGGCTTGCACTGCTCTTCAGATAAAGATCAAAATCTACTCTCATCTTTTCTTATGTCCCTGGCTGTCTTTTGGTCCACTACATTTATGTGCTCATTAAGATGAGGACGGAAAAGTGTCCATTAAATGTAGTGACATGGAGATACTGAGGTCCTCAGCAACATCTTTGTCATCTCTTTGCCATTCCAGCCCTCTTGGCCCTACCACTTGTTCTGGGTCCTACTGTTGCAAGCAGTTCTCTGCATGTGTCGACAAGCTTGGAGGGCTTGAAATCTGATGGCTTTGTCTCAGGGCCACACCATGCCACTCTTGATTCCAGTCCAAAACTCCTCTGAAGGCATAGCATGGGAAACTTGAAGGAATATGCTCAGGGCCTTTGCATATGCTGGAATAGTCTTTTGACCCTTTTCTGTTCTATACCTGCCAATTCAACGTTAGAATCACAGCTTGAGTTTCACTTCCTCAGGGAAAGCTTTCCCAGCTTCCATGAATAGGTCAAAGTCTCCTCTTTTTACACTCTTATAGTATCACATACTTGTTTGTGTCACAGTTGAAATCTTGTAATGTATTTAACTCATGTATGTTTCATTCCCTAGACTGTGAGCTAACTTCTAAGCTCTAAGTATAATCAAAGACTCCCCAGGCCATGTACTACTAGCTGAGAAAGGACAGGGAGGAATCTGGAAGTGACTTCCAAACCTAGCAATGTTCACACTTGGAAATCACATAGGCTTATATGTGCTTAGGTGCCAAACAAATATAATATTACCTGGTTCACCTCCCAAAGTTCCTGGCATCCCCAAGCATCATTGTCCCCTTGGTGCACCTGTGCCCCCAGTAGAGATGCTCAGCCTGCAGACCTGTGGTGGCTTCTGCAAGAGCTGCATGTTTTCAAGCCATGAAACATCTTTTTACACATATTACCTAGCCATACTTTTTCTATTTCTGCATAACAAATAACCCTCCAATTTAGACTTCAAATAGTGCCCATTTATTAGCTTAACTTTCTGTAGGTTAGAGTCTTGGTAAGTTGCCTGGGTTCTCTGCTCTAGGTTTCATAAGGTCAAAATCAATGTGTTGGTCAAGCTAGACTTTTATCTAGAGGCTTTGGATCAGGATCCATTTCCAAGTTCATTCCAAGTTGTCGGGTTGTCAGTCAGTTTTAGTTCTTTGTGGTTGTAAGATGGGGTGGGGGCGTTTCCTTGTTGGCTGTCATTGGTCCCCTCCATCTTCGAGTCAGCAAAAGGGCATCACATTTTTCTCCTGCTTCCAATCCCTCTGACCTTCTGCTACTAGCCAGAGAAAACTCTCAGCTTTTAAAGGTATATATGATTGGATTAGGTCCATCAAGAAAAACTCCATTTTGCCATACAATGTAACACAATTACAAGAGAAACACTAGGGGACAAAAGTCATAGGGGCCATCTTCAAATTTTGCCTACCACACCAGTCAAAGCAGGGATTTCTTTTAGTAAAAGTTAAACATTAAATATTAAGTAAAGAAGACTTCAAGAAACCAGTGTGAATGCCCTGTCTTGAACCACCAATATATAGGTCATATAGTAGGGTTGCATCTTATTGGTCATGTCACATAATAAGGTTGTGTCTGATTGGTTAATTCTTGGTACCAGAAATCCTTATATACAAGAAAAGGCACCTGATTTTTTAAAAAGTCACTTTGGTTCAAAAAGGGTAGGTAATTACTATTATTATTATTGTTGTTGTTGTTGTAAATTAATAGAAATTATACCTATTTTTGGTCAGATTCAAAAAATATATTTTTGATGTACCACAGAACTTTAGTAATTAGTTTATGTGTGCCATGAGATGAAAATGGTTGAACATCGCTGGTCTACATTTAAGGCATTGTTCTGGCAGGAAGATTTCAAAATGAGATTGTGTAGCATGATGGCTAATGGTTAAAAACAGGATGTTGGAATCAGATTGACTCAAGCCCCAGCTTTACAATGTATCACATTTCTGAAAGTTGCTTAAGACTGGAGTTTATTTCTTCACTTACAAAATATGGATAATAATAGAACCTATCTTGCTGTGGTGTTGTGAGCCTTGGTATGGATGAGAAAATGTTTGTTTAGCACGATAACTGATGCTTTGTTTGTTGTTATTATTATCAACAGAAGGTATCCCCCTTTCCTGTCATGTAAGGAGATAAGAGAACTTAATAGGAAATGCCATTTTGGGGTATGGTTATGTAGATAAGGTAGAGATAACTCTGGCCTGGAGATCATGAGTGATACTGTAGTAGAAGCTGAATCTGAACTCTCCTGGGGCTGGCCAAAGTTTCACTAAGTGTTATATTAGTAGCTTGAAACTATGGATCTATAGCTGTGCTATAGCATAAACCATATCATGATTGAGCATCAGCCCATTATGGTGGGGGTTGGGGGCATATTGATGAATACCTCTGCAAGAGTTTCCCAGGTTTTCTCATCATCAAAATCTCATAGAGCTCCATCTTCAACTTCTTTTAGCCCCATGAAGCTGAACATTGGAAACTTAAAATCATTCTGATCCTAATTTAATGCAATTTATTTCATTGTTAAGAGAACTCCCCCTTCAAAACTCATACACAGTATGGTGAAGCACTGTTGACTTCATTATGAAATGCCTGGAAGATATTGCTACTCTAATATTGTGCCTCCACTTTTGATTTTCCTTAGGAAAACATGACCCTTCAGCCTTTGCTTCTGACCTGCCTTTTCCTACTAATTTCCGATTCCTGTGAGTTCTTCACTGAAGTAAATTATTCCAGAAGAAGCTATCCTTGCGATGAGAAAAGACAAGGTGTCTCTGTTATTGCAGAGTGCAACAATCGCCGATTGCAAGAAGTTCCCCAAACCGTGGGCCAAGACGTCACGAAACTAGACCTGTCTGATAATTTAATCACACATATAACAAATGAATCCTTTCAAGGGCTGCCAAATCTGACTGAAATCAATCTAAACCGCAACGTCCTGCTACAGTCCTACTCTGGCAATTATGATAAGAATGAAAAAGGCATGAATATTACAGACGGGGCATTCCTCCACTTGCAAAACCTAGTGGTGTTACTGTTAGAAGACAACCAGTTAAACAAAATACCCACTGACTTGCCAGGGTCTTTGAGAAGTCTCAGTCTAATTCAAAACAACATAATTTCTGTAACTAAAAACAACACTTCTGGACTTAAGAATTTGGAAAGGCTCAATTTGGGCTGGAACTGCTATTTTGGCAATGTTTGTAATAAAACTTTTATTGAAGACAGGGCATTCGAAAAGATTACAAATTTGAAGGTGTTAATACTATCCTTTAATAACCTTTCCCACGTGCCACTCAACCTGCCAAGCTCCTTAACAGAACTGTATCTTAGCAACACCAATATCAACAACATTAGTAAAGAAGACTTCAACAATCTGGAAAATTTAACAGTTCTAGATTTAAGCGGGAACTGTCCAAGGTGTTTCAATGCGCCGTTTCCTTGTACACCCTGTGCAAAAGACGCCTCGATTTTTATACATCCCAATGCTTTTGATAGCTTGACCAAACTTAAATACCTCAACCTCTCTAGCACTTCCCTCCGGAAGATTAATCCAGGCTGGTTTGACAAAATGCATAATCTGAAGGAGCTGCATCTTGAATTCAACTACTTGGTACAAGAAATAGCCTCTGGAGAATTTTTAACAAAACTGCCCAGCTTAGAAGTACTTGACTTATCTTTTAACTATGCAAAGACACAATATCCACTCTATATTAATCTTTCCCGTAACTTTTCTCATCTTAGATCTCTCCGTGCTTTGCACTTAAGAGGCTATGTGTTCCAGGACCTCAGATATGAAGATTTCAAGCCCCTGATGAACCTCTCAAATTTAAGTACTATCAACTTGGGTATTAATTTTATTAATCAAATTAATTTTTCCATTTTCCAAAATTTCCCCAACCTAAACGTCATTTACCTGGCAGCAAACAGAATATCGCCCTTGGTAAGGGGTAATAGGCAAAGTTGTGTGAACTGCTCCACTCTCCAAAGTCCTGTCCGTATATCACGCTCAGCAGATAGTGAGTTTGACCCACATTTGAATTTTTATCACACCACCATGCCTTTAATAAAGCGACAGTGTACAGATTATGGCAAAGCCATAGATTTAAGCTTGAACAGTATTTTCTTTATTGGGCAAAAGCAATTTGAAGCTTTTCCTAGCATTTCCTGCTTAAACCTGTCTTCAAATGGCAATGCTCAAGCATTAAATGGAAGTGAATTTTCAGCTCTGCCTCATATCAAATACTTGGATCTTACACACAATAAACTGGACTTTGATGATGATAGTGCTTTCAATGAATTGCCAGAGTTAGAAGTTCTAGATCTCAGCTACAATGCACACTATTTCCAAATAGCAGGGGTGACGCACCGTCTAGGATTCATTAAAAATTTAACACGGCTGCAAGTTTTAAATCTGAGCCACAATGACATTTATACCTTAACAGAGTACAATCTGAGTAGTGTGTCTCTGACAGAATTAGTTTTCAGTGGAAACCGCCTTAACATTTTGTGGAAGGCTGCAGATAAGAGGTACAGGTACATTTTCAGAAATCTCAAAAATCTAACACGGCTTGATTTATCCTTTAATAACCTTGATCATATCCCAGATGAAGCATTCATTAACTTGCCCAGGAATCTCACCAACCTATATATAAATGATAATAAGTTAAATTTCTTTAACTGGACATTACTCCAGTACTTTTCTGATCTCCACTTGCTTGACTTAAGTAGAAACCAACTAGATAATTTAACATATAGCATATCTGAATTCGCAAAATCTCTTCAGACGCTACTGCTGAGTGAAAACAAGATTTTCTGCCTGCCCTCTGGCTTTGTTTCAGAAAACAGCATTCTGGTATACCTCGATTTAAGTTCCAACCAACTAAAAATGATCAACAGATCCACATTTCAAATGAAAAAAGAGAATACTCGCTTAGCCGTTTTGAAACTAGATGGAAACCCCTTTGACTGTACCTGTGACATGGGGGATTTTCTAAGATGGATGGATGAAAATCCAAATGTCACAATTCCTAAGCTGACAGATGTTATTTGTACCAGTCCTGGGGATCAAAGTGGGAAGAGTATTGTGACTCTTGAGCTGACCACGTGTGTTTCGGACACCACTGCGGCCATATTATGTGTCTTTACGTCTTTCATCACCATCATGGTTATGTTGGCCGCCGTGGCTTACCACTGGTTTTACTGGGATTTTTGGTTTATTTATCACATGTGTTTAGCTAAGGTCAAAGGATACCGGTCTCTTTCCACATCCCAAACTTTCTATGATGCTTATGTTTCTTATGACACCAAAGATGCCTTTGTTACAGACTGGGTGATCAATGAGCTGCGCCTCCACCTAGAAGAGAGTGAAGAAAAAAATGTGCTCCTCTGTTTAGAGGAGAGAGACTGGGACCCAGGATTAGCCATCATTGACAACCTCATGCAGAGCATCAACCAAAGCAAGAAAACAATATTTGTCTTAACCAGAAAATACGCAAGAAGCTGGAGCTTTAAAACAGCATTCTACTTGGCCTTGCAGCGGCTAATGGATGAGAACATGGATGTGATTCTATTCATTCTGCTGGAGCCAGTGTTACAGCATTCTCAGTACTTGAGGCTGCGGCAGAGAATCTGCAAGAGTTCCATCCTCCAGTGGCCTGACAACCCCAAGGCAAAAGACTTGTTTTGGCAAAGTCTGAAAAATGTGGTCTTAACTGAAAATGATTCACGGTATAACAACTTGTATGTTGATTCCATCAAGCAATACTAATTGATGTTAAATCGTGGTTTACCAACATCATCCAAAGGCCAAGCAATGACCCTTTTGCCTTAGTAATCTATTGCTATGTAAGAAATTATCCCAAAACGTATGGCTTAAAATGAAACAATTTGTTATGTCGTGGTATCTGAAGGTCAGGAGTCCAGTGTGGCTTAGTTAGGCTCTCTGCTCGGGGTCTCTCAAAAGCTGCAATCTAGGTGGTAGCCAGGGCCACAGGCATCTCCTGGGGGTAGGATTGCAATCCTTGAGAGACCACAAACTCACACTCATGTGGTTGTTTTCAGGAGTTGCTTCCTTCTGGGCTGCTGGCCAAAGGCTGCTCTCAGTTCTCGGCCACAGGGACCTCTCCCACATGGCAGTTTGCTTCATCAGAGCCAGCAAGAGACAGAGTTTGCTGGCAAGGCAGAAGTCACCTTTTCTTTTTGTTGTTGTTGTTAATCCTCACCCTAAGGATATTTTTTTCATTGATTTTTAGAGAGAGAGTGCAAGGGGGGAAATGAAGGAGGGGGAGGGAGAGAGAGGGGGAAACATCGATATGAGAGAGACACATCGATTGGTTGCCTCCCACATGTGCCCTGATCCGGGCGGGAATCAAACCTGCAACCCAGGTATGTGCCTTTGATTGGGAATCAACCCCATGACCCTTCCCTGGTGGGCCAATGCTCTAACCACTGAACCCACCAGCCAGGGCTAGAGTTACTTTTATAAATTTTAGCTATGATATTTGACTCTAAGGTCTAGATGCCATTTAAAAGCTGATCTAGAAAGTTTTCTAGTGGTTTATTTTTTTACTTCTTAACCACTCTTTTAGAGTATGCAGCTAAACTAGAAGGATTTGGATCACTTGTCAATTGTCACTTCTATAAATCTTGAATAATTAAAGATGCTCCATTTTAGTATATAGTAACTTGGTCTAATCGTTTCTCAACCTGGTTTTTCTGAGAATACTTTTAACGGTTTTTATGGGATTTGTATTTTCAGATAATTATTAACAGAAAAATTTTATCTTCCTACTCAGAAGACATCAAGTCAAAACCCTTTATGCTTTTCTCCCAAATAAAACAACCCCCTTGCTGTCCCCTTGATGTCTCTGCTTCAGTCCACAGCGGCCTCCCTCCAGAGCAGTTCTCAACCTGTGGGTCGCGACCCCTTTGGGGTCGAACGGCCCTTTCACAGGGGTCGCCTCAGACCATTGGAAACACATCTTTCTGATGGTCTTAGGAACCGAGACACTGCTCCTCTATCCATCTCCAGGCGGGTCCGCCCACATGCAGATACTACCACATAGAACATGAGGAACTGTATTAAAGGGTCATGGCATTAGGAAGGTTGAGAACCACTGCTCTAGAGGTACCTTCTGAAATTTACCTGAGAATAACTGGAAATCATCCAGGCATAAGAAAATAAAGTGTCTTCAGAATGAAAAGAAGAAAAATCTCAATGCACCATCCTTCCTTAACTACATACAGTCTTTTATTTATTTTGCAGGATGAGTTATTTTTAAATATGTGTTACTAAGGAACTGAACAAAATGGTGTGTCATAGCATTATTTAATAGGGACAAAGTGGAAGTCAGCACAAGTTTACCAAGGACAATTTTAGATTTAACACTGAACCCCGTTTCGTGACCACAATGTTTATAGACAGATGTTTGTGCTGGTCTTTGTTGAAGCATAGGAACTATATCTAAAAGCAGGATCATTCCAGGAAGGGACACCTGGAGGCAATCACAGCTCATCTCTGTTAATGCCATAATTATTTGTGGTCTGGAAGAAGCTCACTGCTGTGTTCCCTGACTGTTACAGTAAAATAGAAATGTAGACTTTTGAATAGCATTAGTAATGACGGAAGTATGTTAAGCTCACACGCTTTAGCAGCATTCTGTTGACACAATCAAAAGTTAAGGAAGCCCTGGCCAGTTTTGCTTAGTGGTTAGAGAGTTAGCCTGCAGACCAGAGAGTCCCGGGTTTGGTTCCCACTAAGGGCATGTACCTCGGTCGCAGTTTGTCCCCGGCCCCCATTGGGGTTGTGTGGGTGGCAGCCACTCGATGTGTCCCTTTCATGTCGATGTTTCTCTCCCTCCCTCTCTCTCTCCCTCCCTCTCTCCCTCTCTCCCTCCTGCTCTGTCTGAAGATAAAAGCAAAAAGTGTCCTCAGGTGAGGATAAGTTAATGAAGCCAGCCGGTGTGGCTCACTGGTTGAGTGTTGACCCATGCACCAAGGGGTTGCTGGTTTGATTCCTGGTCAGGGCACATGCCCAGGTTGTGAACCCGATCCCCAGTGAGGGGCATGCAGGAGGGGCCAATCGATGTTCTCTCTCGTTGTTATTTCTCTCTCTCTCTCTCTCTCTCTCTCGCTTCCTCTCTCTAAAATCAATAAAGAAAAAAAAGTTAGTGAAAGTCACAGTTTTATCTTCCTTGCAAATATCTTCATAAAGTGAAGATAGTGAAATCAGTGGTTAATAACATTTTATTCTGAAACTCATTTATTCCTCATTTAGAATACTACTATGGGAAAATCGAACCATAATTTGTTAAAGTCAGCATTGTTCTGTTTTTTTCTGTTATTTTAAAATGTATAGCCCTGGCCAGTTTGGCTCAGCGGTTAGAGCGTCGACCTGCGGTCCGGAGAGACCCGGGTTCGGTTCCCGCTAAGGGCACGTACTTCGGTTGCAGTTTGTCCCCGGCCCTGGTTGGTCGTGCGGGTGGCAGCCGCTCGGTGTGTCCCTTCACGTCGATGTTTCTCTCTCTCTCTCTCCCTCCCACTCTATCTGTACAAAAAATGGAAAAATATCCTCGGGTGAGGATAAAAAAATAAATAAAATAAAATAAAATAAAATAAAATAAAATAAAATGTATATATGCTAATACCTGCATTTAAGTTTTTAAAGTTCAAATTTAGAAAAGGATGTACAGTAAAATGTAATTTCCCTCCCAACACAACTTTGCTTCCTAGAGAAAATCACTAGTCAAGATTCTTGTATATTCTTTTGTATTATAGTGTAAAGGTTCAGCTGCCTTAACAAAGAGACTCAACAATACAGAACTTTATTTCTCTGTCCCATATGCTGTGGCCTGAATGTTTGTGTCCGTCTCAAATTCATATATTGAAATCTACCCCGCAAGGTGATGGTATTAGGAGGTGGGCCTTTGGGAAGTGATTAGGTCATGGGAACAGAGCCCTCCAGAGTGGGATTAGTTTGCTTATGAAACTGACCCAAGAACATTCCCTTGCTCTTCTGCCATGTGACTTTACAGGGTGTGGGCTGTCACCAAACACCAAATCTGCCAGCACTGTGATCTTGCACTTTCAGCCTCCAGAACAGTGAAAAGAAATGTTTGTTGTTTATAAGCCACCCCGTCTCTGGTATTTTGTGATAGCAACTGAACAGACTAAGACACCCATAACAGCTCCAATGAGAATGGTTTAGGTTGGCAGGGCAGCTGTGCTCTCCACGGCCATTCAAGATCACATGATCTTTTCTCCTTTGGCTCTGCTGTCCTCTGGGGAATTGGCATCACCTGCATGGTCCAGGCTGGTTCACCACTATGGCTGGGAAAAAAACAAGGAAGAGTACTCAGACCACTGTCTTAAAGTCTAGACTCACCAGTGGCACACATCATCTGCTCACCTTCCATTACTGAAGACCTATTTAACCCCACGTAAGTGCAAAGTATGTTGGGAAATATGCCCAGTGAGAAGTCTGTAACTGTGGAAGAAAAGGAGAAGAGATTTGGTAGACAGCTAGAAGTCTCTGCTACAACTTCTGGAAGTTTTCAGTTTGTACTTCTGAGCCTTCAATTGCTCATTTACTATAAAGGAGCAAACTTTATAATAGTGTTCTACATTTTCTTTTCACTTACTATTTCTTAGAGAATGTGTATATATATATATATATATATATATATATATATATATTTTATATCCTCACCCGAGGACATTTTTCCATTTTTTGTTCAGATAGAGTGGGAGGGAGAGAGAGGAACAGAGAGAGAGAGAGAGAAACATCGATGTGAAAGGAACACATCGAGTGGCTGCCACCCGCACGACCGACCAGGGCCGGGGACAAACTGCAACCGAGGTACGTGCCCTTAGCGGGAACTGAACCCGGGTCTCTCAGGACCGCAGGCCGACGCTCTAACCGCTGAGCCAAACCGGCCAGGGCTATATATATATATATATATATATATATATATATATATATATATTTTATTTATCTTTATTGTTGAAAGTATTACAGATTGTATAAATATTTTTAATGACTGCATAGTACTGCCTTATATGAATGAACCATAAGGTATTTTCCCAGTCCTTCATTGATTAATATTTTCATTGCTTCTAATCTTTTGGTATTACAACTAATTCTATAATACTGTGTCTTCATATTCATATATACCTATCTCTAAAGAATAAAATAAGTTTAGTACAGCAATACTGAAAGTGTTATACAGAATTATGTTGATCTGCAACTGGATATTACTGGTGTGTGATGAGATAAATACAAAATCTGAGAGTTTTGTATTTGACATAGCCATATCTTCCACCATCAGTGGTTAATGACAGGTTGGAAATTTTTTGAAAAGCTGAACTTTTGTCCCAGATGGTTTGATAAGTACAGGTATAGAAGTAGAATTACTGGGTCACAGGGCTTATGAATTTTAAATGTTTATAGACACTATCCAATTTGTCCTGCAAAGTGGTTGCTCAAATGTACACTTCCACCAAGAATCTTGGCAGAAAGATATAAAGAATTACAGAGTCAAAGAAGAGCTGATGGTTGTCATTTCCAAAAATAAATCAGAATGTGCTCAGAGTCCATCTTGAGGTTCCTTGTTGAAGAAGTAGTAAAAATGATTAATTTGGAATGAATTTGGGCAGCCAATCAAAATATATATTAGCATAGTTGTGATGTAAAAGTCTAGAGCACTCCTGGCAGTGTGGGGTCTGTTGGGAAGGAGGAGGGAAGGTTAGGAAAGCATATTTAGCATATGTATTAATTTAGCTTAGTTGGTTGGAGTGTCCCCATACACCAAGGTTATGGGTTCGATCCCTAGTCAGGGTACATTACAAGAATCAACCAATGAATGCATAAATTAGTGGAACAACAAATTGATGTTTCTAGTTCTCTGTGTCTCTCTCTTCCGTCCTCTCTCTCTCTAAAATCTATAAATAAAAATTTTTGAAAACTACACAATGCAAATTTTCATGCAATGTTACTGACTGATGGTGATCATGGCTTGAAGAGTGAGGAACCCCATGGGGAAGATGGGTGGAGAATCGCTGAGCTAAGTGTTACTGAGCTTGATGTGATTAATCAGCTAAGGAAACAGGGGGGGTTACATGGTGGCAGGAAGAGAGAAGCCTGAGACAAAAAAGACTTGACTTGTGGTGGCCGTGACTGCTATTCACATCATTGCTTTTTCATGTATTCACTTTTTACCTTATGATCCCTGGCCTGGAAAAAACAATAGATGG